ACAGCGCCCCAGCTTTTCCAGGGTCGCCCTCCGTTTCTGGCAGCCGGGGGACGAGGAGAAATCCGAGGTGATCTCCCTGGGCCCTCTGCGCCCCGCTGGGCCGGAGAGGCGCCCCCGCCCGTCTCCGGTGGGGAGAAGGTGGGGCCCGAGCGCTTCATGGGCAGGGATTTCCCAAGCTGCAGCCCCGGGCGCCCAAGCTGGGTTCATTGCTAGGCATGGGCGGCACCGGCCGCTCTTTACTGCCGGGAGAGCTGCTCACTCCCAGGCGCGGCCGACTCCTGTCGCAATCTCTCACTCCACACCGAGCTGCTGCTTGCCAGGGGACACGCAGAAAATATTTTTCTTTTTTCCTGGCTCTTCAGATTTCTCTGATTCTGAAAGAATCAGGCTGGAGTTCACATCCACTATCTGTGGAGGGGGAATGTTTTTCCATTTCATTGCTTCTCTGTAAACTCTATCTTAAAACAAAAACAAAAAACCCAGAAAACAGGGCCGGGATTTAGCTCAGTGGAGACCCACCTGCCTCGCAAGCACAAGGTCCCGAGTTGGATCCTTAGTAAAGAGAGAGAGAGAAAAAAAAAAGAATCCAGACAAGTCAGGAAGATAAATATCTATATGAATAGCTCTCAGCCCTGGGCCCAAAGTGCTAAGGTCACTAACCTGGGCGTCAAGAGAACACAGGTTATAAAAAGAGATCTCACGCTGGGTGTGGTGGCACACACCTCTATTCTCAGAACTCTGGAGACCGAGGCAGGAGGATCTCTGTGAGTTCAAAGCCAGCCTGAACTTTACAGCAAGACCCTATCTCAGAAGAACAAACACAAAAACAGAGCGATTTCATGGTTGGCGATTGACTTACTTAAAATAGTCCGTGCCTAATTTTTGGAACAGTACACTGTCCTGGGTAAAATGTGGCTTCAGTTAGGAAAGTGACACGCGATGTGGGGCCCTGTCTGCCAAATGAGTCACCCAGTTCGTTTCTGGACAAAAACACGATCTTGGGTTTTTTAATTTGTTTACCGTTTCAATGTGCTGTGGAGTTCTGGATAAGTAAGCCGGAGACCCAATTTCTCAGTGAAGTAATGGACCCTGCCAAGGGCTGTGCTTGGAAATGTCAAAGTGCGGTTCTTATTTTGGTTTAATTTATTTTGCTTTATTTATTTATTTATTTGAGACAGGGTCTCATTGTGTAGCTCTAGGCTGGCCTTGAACTCTTGGAGAGATTCACCCTGCCTCAGCTTCCCGGGTGCTGGGGCCATAGGTGTGTGCCACCATGCCCAGCCTGGGATTTTAAATTAGTAGAGGAAAAGCCCAAGTCGAGGGCTGGGAGATTTGGGCCCTGATCCCTGGTGTCAGGCCGGGGCCTTTGGGCATCAGCTCCCTCTGTTGCCCAGGCTGGGTGTGGATGCTTTGAAGGCCGTGGGGATGGTTGCATTTACCGGGTTGGGCCCACAGATCCGAGCAGATGGAGGATGGCAGAGGTGGGGGGTTGTGAGTTTCTGGTCGCCACTACCCCTGAGCGTCCCACCCAACAGCAAGGCCAGGGGACTGGTGCCCAGTGTTGCAGGGACATTTCCCGGGGCTGCGCTGCGAGATCTCAGCCCTGCACCTCCTGTCCCTAAAGTGGGGTTGGGGGGCAGTGTGCGAACATTCGGGGTTGTTGCTGAGAGTTCGAGTTTCTCCTGCCTCCAAGAGCTCTCCCGGGTGGAGGAGCCCCCCCACCATGATGGGAACCGGACATGGCCAGCTGGGGAGGCCCTAGGACTCCTTGTCTGGCTGCAGTGGCCTCCACTTTGGGGAAGGACGCCCAGGTTGAGAGAGGTGTGGGCAAAGTAAAATTGATTATTAAATGTCTGAAGGTGATATAAGTCACAAGGACATGTAACAGTTGGTGTGCACAGAGGAAGGGCACATTAGAGCCCTAGGAGGGGCTCTGCTTATTGGTGATGCCAAGGAAAGGTGTGGTGGTGCACACCTGTAAACCCCCGCACTCGAGAGGCTGATGCGGGAGAGTCTGAGTACAAGGTCAACATGGGCTACATAGCAACACCCTGACTCAAAAGGCAAAGAAGAATGTCCATTCTTAGGAGCTATGAAGTTTCTTGGACCCTGGGGGTGGGCACTGCCAATTCCTTCAGATGATGGAGTTGAATAGCACACCTCTTAGCTTGGGGCCGGGGTGAGCAGAGTCACTCAGGCTGGGTGGTCCTTGGGGAGGCGCTGTGGACTCAGCCCAGGGCCTGGGGTTGAGTGGAAGTAGGGCCAGCTCTTCCAGAAGTTAGATTTTGAGCTGCTGAGAGCATCCAGGAGCAGATGATAACTCCTCTCTCTTTCCCCTCAGGAAGATGGCAGACGGCTTCTCGGTGAGTGCTCCCTTCTGCCTTGATCCCTCCCCGCGCGATGAGGGTTGGGGATTCACCTCAGCACTGCTTCCCCCTCTGGGCCTCCTTTGCCTCCGCTTCTCCTCCTCCGTGGCTCTGAGTTGCAGTCTTGTTTTGTCAGCAGATGTGGGAAAGAAGCTAGGCAGGGCGTCCTGGGATGGCACCAGTGACCCCTCTCACTTTCCTGCGAGCACAATTAGCACCCAAAAGAAATTTGGGGCAGCTTAGAAAACTTGGGCCTGGGCCAGGGATTTAGCTCAGCGGTGCTGCTGTTTGAGTTCAATCCCTGGTACAAAAACAAACAAACAAAACTCCAAAAAACTTAGGCCTGTGGTTGAAGAGCCAGCTTGGGCCAGGAGAAAAATGAAAACTCTCCCAGGTGTAAGACCTCACAGTCTGTCGCAGGGATGTCTTCTGGCCATAATTGCTGCTGTCTTGCTTTCCAGCTCAATGATGCCTTATCCGGTCCCGGACACCAGAACCCTCAAGGATGGCCGGGTGCCGGGGGCTACCCAGGGGCTGGCTATCCTGGCGCCTACCCCGGGCAGGCTGCTCCCGGGGCGTACCCTGGACAGACGCCTCCGGGGGGCTACCCGGGCCAGGCGGCCCCTGGGGCTTATCCGGGGCAGGCACCGGGCACCTACCCAGGCGGGACCACCTATCCTGGGGCCGCGCCCGGCGCCTACCCAGGCCCTACTGCTCCCAGCTCCTACCCAGGGGCCGCCCCCGGAGCCTACCCCGGCGCCAGCCCCTACGGCGCCCCCTCGGGACCGCTGGTAAGATGGGGCGGTGCTGGCAGGGAGGCCTGGGCTCGAGCGGGCTTCTAGATCCCTTGTGCGGGCCGATCCCAGAGCTGAGCTTGCTGGGCTTCCCGGTAGTGTAAGGGGCTTGTGAGGTGAGGGCTGAATCTGCGTGCAAACTGAAGTGCGTGTCAGTAAGGGAACCCTAAGTGAGACCCGATGTGAGGGGATCCCGGAGCGTCCAGAGGATGTGAAGATGGAGACCGGACAGGAGAGCTCTGTCTGGGAGAGCGCCGGCTCCGAGTCCCGCAGCGGGAGAGGCCGATGTGCCTGGCCCCAGACGGTGCTGATCAGTCCGAGGGGTCGCGAAGACCTGGGCTTCCCAGGCCGGACCAGCAGACCGGAAGTCGGGCACGGGAGGGAGGGTGCTTCCGCTGGAGCCCGCCCCCCGGAAGTGCTGCCCTGGGTCTGGGGTGCAGCGTGGGACGCAGTCGGCCGACGCCCAGGAGCCCCGGAAGGCGGGCAAGGGAGCAGAAAGGCCGGTGCCCGTCACAAAGCCCCGCACGACCCTGTGTGGATGAGTTGGGATCGCCACGGCCCAGGGCGGGTTCCGGAAGGGATATTTTCTCCTTTCATCCTTTGTTCGTAGCGTTTGTGCAGCGGGGAATCTTGGCGAGGCCAGGGGCGGAGAGACCTAAGCCAGAGCTGTGTCACACCCACTTTCTAACCTGCGGCAGCGTCAGTTTGCTTTTTCCAGCTAGTGTGCCTCCTGACTGACGCCGTACCCTTGTCCCATCCAGGCCGTGCCCTATGATCTGCCCCTGCCCGGCGGGGTCGTGCCGCGCATGCTCATAACGATTCTGGGCACTGTGAAACCCAACGCCAACAGGTAAAGTGGGCTCCGGAGCGGCCCAGAAGGATACTTCGCATTTTAATAGGATTTTAAACTACACCTATAGAATCTCGACTCCACCATCCTATGGGACCAGTCAGTCAGTACAGGCTTCCACTTAACTTTTCTGTCACAAGGGTCGCTAACGATGTACCCGCTTTGCCATTCCATCTTTGTGGCCGAGGCAGGCAAGAAATGCTGCTGTCAAGGGCCGGCCTGGGAAGGCAGTCTTCTGGGTCAGAGGTTTGAAGGTCCCTGAGGCCCACTGCAGCCGTGCACACAGCTTGTCCGAGTCCCCTAACCCGTGAGGACCTGTCACGTAGCCCATGAATCAGCAGGAGCCACTTCCTGTCACCAGCGAGGAGAGGCTTCCTGTCTGATGAGTGACACTGGCGCAGCCCACGTCCCTCGTGGCAGTCTCCACCCAGGCATCACCCTCTGCGCAGTGCCCGCTTGCACAAACACTCGTGTGACACTCTGGCCATGTGTCCCCCTATATAATGACCAAACCCGTGACTTGTGGATATCAGTCCTCCTCCTGCGACCCCAGCACAGAGACCTGCAGAATCCTTGCCAGTGAGGGTCACTGCACAGGACGCTGAGTGCCAGCAACACTGGAGATGGGGTCCCAGTCCGTGGCAGATCTCGAGTTCCGAAGTGGGTGATGGCAGTAAATTGAATAAATTATTGCTTGGAGCTGCAAGTTTTATTTTAGACGGGATCTCACTGTGTAGCCCAGGCTGGCCTCAAACTTGAGGTAATCGGCCTGCCTCAGCGTCCCGAGCACCGCGATCACAGGCGTGCGACACACTCGTCTTACATGATCTGCTGGGCCCGGTGTACTTTCCGGTCTGAGCCCGTTCTCTTACTTGCAGTCCACCCCGACATGCTCCCTTGCGCTATAACGAGATTTGCTCTCGGAAACCTGTGTCCCGTCGGTCGTTTGCATTCCCGGCCTTTGGCTCCTTGCAGGTTGGCCCTGGACTTCAAGCAGGGGAACGACGTGGCTTTCCACTTCAACCCGCGCTTCAACGAGAACAACAGGCGGGTCATCGTGTGCAACACCAAGCAGAGCAATGCCTGGGGGCGGGAGGAGCGCCAGCAGGCTTTCCCCTTCGAGATGGGCAAGCAGTTCAAGGTGAGTCAGAGCCACTCTCACGTGCTGGTTCTGTCTGCTTCTCACAGGGAATCCCTCTAAATCCCACACACTCAGAGCATTTGGTTTTGGGGCCAGGGTCTCCCGATGTAGTCCAGACTGGCCTTCACTATGTAGCCCAGGCTCACCTCCAACTTGTGGCAGATCCCCCCGCCTCAGGACTTGTGAGGAAGACAGGGGAACCGCTGAGTTAAATCCCCGGCCCCCCCTTTTTGAGACAGGGTCTCCCTTAGTTGTCCAGGTTGGATTTGAACATGGCATCTCCCTGCCTCAGCCTCCCCTGTGCTGAGGTTATAGCCATCATGCCCAGCTCCCTTTTAAATTGACAGAAGTTCTGTAGGTGTGCCACGCGCAGCATGACGCTCTGCACTGTGGACACACTGCAGTGGCTGCAGGCAATACCAGCAGGCACTGCCTCATAGGATGGTTGTGTTTGTGCTTCGCAGATCCAAGTGCTGGTGGAACCCGACCACTTCAAGGTGGCGGTCAACGACGCGCACCTGTTGCAGTACAATCACCGGGTGAGGAACTTCACGGCAATCAACAAACTGGGGATTTCCGGCGACATAACCCTCACCAGCGCAACATACACTATGATATAATCTGGAAGGGCAGACGCTTGGAGGCCAGACCTTACCTACGCAAAGGCTTCGGGTTCACTGGGAGTGGAAAGTTTTACATCTATGCACGATATTCTTCCCTGAGTCCCTCATTTAATAAACGTTATGCTGAGTTACCTTTCTTCCTGTCGTTTCACTGGAGCACTTTACTCTCATATGTCCAGGGGAAAGAGCAACATGTAGCGATGCCAATGCAACAGTCCGGCTTCCCGAAGTGCCCTGCACTTGCTAGTGCACTCAGGAGAAAGCAGAAGGGCAGTGTCACACTCCTGTAATCCTGGCACTGTGGGAGGCTGAGGCAGGAGGATGGCAAATTTGAGCCCACCCTGGGCAACTTCGATTCAGTCTCAAAAAATGGGCCAAGGGGACTGGGGATTCAGCTCAGTGGTTTTGCTGCCCGCCTCGAAAGCACAAGGTCCCACAGTTTGATCCTGGGGATGGCGAGGATGCAGTACCACCAAAAGTAAAAAATATATATACATATATTACATACATATACACACACACACACACACACACACACACACACACACTACCCCCAAATGCTCCTGTGCATTTCCTCACAACTAGGAGATGCTGCAAGGAAACCTCCCATTTTCTTGAGACAGAGGAAATGAGAGGAGCAGGTTTACTCAGGAACAGTTAACATCAGCATTCTTGTTGCTTGGCAACAGGGAAACCTAGGTGCCGCAGTCACACTGCAGGAACAAGAGTCCCAGGCAGCCCTAGTAAGTGTAGGTGACTGCTGGGCCTCCTGATGCAACCAGAACACTAACAGCAGGCGACACTGCTGCTGCTAATCACAAACTAAACTTTTTTTTTTTTTTTGGTTTTTTTGAGAGGTCTATGTAGTCCTTTGGCCTCAACCCTCACCGATCCTCCTGCCTCAGCCTCTCAAGTGCTGGGAAAATGGTCACTTTTTAAAATACAGCTTACTGAAACATTACATAAAATATTGTTTGCACATGGAGCTGCCAACTAGGAAGTCTTTGGTAAAACAGAAGAGGTTCTTGTTCTGTTCTTTCCTTTTTGTGTCTAAATATTTTCCCAATGCATCACTCTAGAGCCCTAAGCCCAAGGGCACACCGGTAGGGGACCCGGATACTGGCCTCACCGGCACTCACTCCATTTTCTGCCAGCCCCTGCTCCCCTCGGGTAGTATCCTAGCTTCAGAGGGGATCCTCACCAGGGCCAGGCTGATGCTGCCCAGCACCGGCAGCCACTGTGATACCAAAGGACGCAGCCTTGCAGGAGCCCAGCAGCAAGGACAGCGTGAGCCGGGGTCAGAGCCTAACCCACCATCCGGCCCAGGACTGGGGCTCCCTGATAACTCATGGTATACATGTCCTTAATCCTAGGCCTGAGTCCGTTACGAGTCTAAATAACCCAAACAAGCAAGACGGAAAAGAATATGTATTCATTCAAACAGGGAGTTCCAAGGGTTCAGGGTCACGGACATCTGAACAGCCACAGTAAGTAGGTGTGAGCTGGGGGTGGCAGCCACGCTGTAGTCCCTGCCTCTGGGGAGGCTGAGACAGGACCATTGCAAATTTGAGGTCAGTCAGGGCAATTTCATGAGACCCTGGGTCAAAATAAAGTAAAAACGGCTGGGAGTGCTGCTCACGTTCTCTGGGCTCAACGCTCAGAGGTACATAATGGGTTGGTGTGTTCTGTTTGGACTTCCCTAAATTAAAGGCCACCATAACTTACCCACGTGTGAGCTCCACAGATGGGCCTGGCTGCCAGGTGGCTGCGGAATTCTCCGGGTGCTCCGGTACCAGCAGCTGTTTTATAATCCTACAGTGAAGAGTTTAGAAAAGAAAACATTTCTGATGCACAAGATGACTGATGATTCTCCAGGAGGATCAGTGGCTGCTGTCCAGAGGAAAAGGAAGAGAAACAGCAAGGCGCTAATGGGCCTCCCCCAACTTAAGCGTTTCACAGGTGCCGCAAAGTGACTTCAGCACACAGAAAGTGCAGAACCCCGGAACCCCAGGAAATGCAACGCCCGCAGCTGTTTAACAGCAAGGCATTTAGGAGTTCGGGGGAAAGTATAAAAGGAAGTATTTTGGTCAAAGTTTAAAGACACATATAATAAGCTGAGTATACTTAGCTCTAATCTCACATGCTTAAATAAAGAGGCAAGACAAAGAATACTTTTTATTCTGTGTGCTAAGTGTACAAACACCCTCACTCCACGAGCAGCATCACGTCTAAAACACAAGGGAGCCACGGAATACTAAAACACTCGGCGCTGGCTAAGTGGATCAAGCAGGAGGAGGCAACCACGTACTGTCCACACTTCCGACAGTCCACCGCGGAGAAAGCTTCTGCATTTATTTTTAAATTCCTTAGTCTTCTGGCCGCTCCACCACCGAGGGCCTCGAGGGGGAGAAGGCGATCAGGTTCCCGCCGAAGGAGACGAGTCGGGTTCCCCGTGGACGCCCCCACTCCACCGGGGCGAAGGGGCTGCTGCCGGCCAGGCCTGGCTGGGAGGGAAAGGCACAGGGTCACTGAAGCTGCCCTGCAGCGACTCAACTGGTGACACCAGCAAGGACCCCCCCCCCAACAGTGAGTGCCGAGGGCCGACAGCGGCATCTTAGGCCAGCTACCTGGGTTCTGCAAATTCTAAAGCCCAGTGTGAATCAGCAGGGCGTCACTGCAGTGCCATCTCTGCTCCTTCCGCCCAAGCTCTACTGCAGCCTCAGTAACGTGGCTGGGGGATGCTAGTTCAGCCCTAAGCAGAGGTGGACTTGAATTCTAATTTTTTTTTTTCCCTCTGGTACCAGGAATCAAACTCAGAACCTTAAACTTGCAAGGCAGGTGGCGGCACCACTGAGCTACATCCCCGGCCTTGAATATCTAAATTCTAAGTCGGGTGTGGAGGCCCATGCTTGTAATCCCAGCAGTCTGGGAGGCTGAGGCAGGAGCACGCAAAGTTCAAGCTCAGCCTGGGCATCTCAGGGAGAGCCTATCTCAGAAACAGGAACAGGAAAAGGGCTGGGGCTCTAGCTCAATGCGAAGGCACTGACTTCAATCCTCAGTATCAAGGGGGAGAAGGCTAAAACCCCAAACCACTAACTTGGAATATCTAGGCCTGGGAAAAAAATTACAAGGAAACCAAACTATAAAGGAGATTTGTCAATGAGATAAAGACATTATGAGAAGCAATCATTCCGGGAACAGGATTAGGGCAGGCTGCATAAACTGGCCTTAGGTGGAAACCCCTGATCCTCTTGTTCTCAGTTTATGATTAAGAAGGTCAGGACCAAGAAAGACTAGTCCAGGGTCATAAGAACTCATTTGCGCTCCGAAATGCTGGCAGCACGGAGGTGACCCAGAGGAGGAGTTCTGAAATACAACGGACCACAAGGAACCTTGGGAATTAATTAGCCAGCGCTTCCAGGCTCCATGCGCTGCTGCTCAGTCCTGCACCTGATTCACGGATTCCTTGTATCCCAGGCCGGGGAATTGCCAGGTAAGGCTCTAAACCAGAGGTGTCCACAGTAGCCACACTGCAGAATCACCTGATGAGGAAAAATGAGTCTCAAAATAAAAAAGGGCTCAGTGTGAAGGCCCAGGGTTCCATCTTCAGGGCCCAAAAACAAAACAAAAACAAACCCAGGAGGAAAGAGAGAGCTAACTATTCCATTCAAAGCATGGTGTCTGCATTAGAGTCTGGATCAGAGAGCTGACAGGACTCTGTAGTTATGAAAGCACTTGGACTTCTGAACTTGGAATATATATATATATTTATTTATTTTATATATATATATTTTTTGGAGACAGGGTCTCACTATGTAGCTGAGACTGACCTGGAGCTCACTATGTAGCCCAGGCTGGTCTCGAACTCACAGTGATCCTCCTGCCTCAGCCTCCCTAATGCTGGGATTACAGGTGTGCACCACACGCCTGGCTTTGAACTTGTAATATATCTTAGACACGGAGCACACTCATGTTCTGTTAGTGAGGCGGAATGCATGCACGTGTATCTGGGGCCTGCGTCTGTGTGAGACCTGACACCGAGAGAGGATTCCAGAGGGCTGACGCTCGGACAAGATTTAAGGGCACGAGGCCTCAAGTGACGTCTGGGAAGCTCACAGATGAAGCTGCGGCACTGCGCACGCGCGTTCTGTGGCAGGAGGAAGAGCGCAGAGCGAGGCAGACAGGCAGGAGCTAGAGGGAGGGGCCTCATCTCCGGAGAGGCCACGGGACAGGACGGCTTCACACGAATGCAATGGGGTGATCCAAGAGTGGGGACAATAACCGAGGACAACTGGAGGCGGCGGCACGTCTCCCCAAAGCAGCTGTTCACCTGGAACGCTTTGCCTTGCCTTGAGCGGCCTGGAAATACCCAGTCTAACCTAGGCCACATAGCAGATATCTGATCCATAAATAACAGGAAAATAAACCTTCAGGGTTTAACACTAGCACTAGTGCTGTACCGCAGGAAGGAAACAAAAGGAAATAAAGCTTGTGAAAGTGAGGATGGGAGGAAAGTTTGAAGGGAGGGAAGGGGAACGGGGAAAAAGGGAGAATTAAAATAAATCATGTGCAGGTACAGATTCCTCCTGATGGGCGCGATCATTCTGCATGACAGATGTGTACTAATAAAAGTTTGTATTTTAGAGTATATAAACACAGAAAGTTTCTCTCCATTTTTAGAAAATGAGCAACAAATGGATTTCAGAGTAAGCAAAAACGACAAGATGTAAATTTTAAACGTCACAAACTGAAAAGTAACAATTCACTTTATAAACAAATCTAGAAAAATAAGGTTCATCAAATTAGGTGGGAAAACTTACTGAATCAAGAAGGTGGTGTTCAGTAGTGAGACCTTCGGTATCAAATAGTACTGGAAAACAAAAATATAGTTTTTACCTTTTTGTGGTTAGAAATAGACAAAGCTTTGAAAGATATGAGAAGTTTTACATATCAAAGACACATGAGCCATTTTGAGACACATATTTATTTTTGGTACTGGGAATCAGGGCCTCACACTTGCCAGGCAGGCGCTGTCCCACTGAGCTACATCCCTGGCCCCACTGCGCTGTTTATTTTTATGTAAATTTCTCAGTGAAATTCTTACCCTCACCTTCAGTACAGAGTTTGAATCTCATGCTGATAACCGTAAAGTAGCAATGTGACCAGCGGACAGAGGCGCCCTTGAGACCCACAACCCACAGCAGAGGGCAGAAGAGCACTGCGCGGGCCATTTGCACTGCTGCCATGCGACGTCCTGACTGCAGACGCCTCGGCCCACACGACCTGTGTGGCTCTGCGGCAAAGTCACCCAAAGCAGCAGGAGGAGGCGCTGAGGAGGAAGCAGGCTGTCTGGAGAGGGCCACCCGGGTCGACAGCACACGCTCGTGTCCAGGGTGGGATGGTGCTCCCGAGTCTCCCCGAGGCAGGGGACAAGGAGCATGTGACAGCGTAACTGTTGTACGAGGAATTTACTGTGTCAATTTCTCAGCCTTCATCTTTAGGACCTGGCGCTCAGAATTATTTATGATAATCTTTACCTTAATCCAAGTTCGATTTTAAACAAAACCTTATTGTGCTATGAAGGTTCTCACCTAGCTGAGAGGTTTGAGCAGCTGCTGTTTGCAAGATGTTACTCTGCGCTGGTGAGTTTTTCTCAGGGCTACTCATCAGAACATCCTGTGCAGGAACCGAAGAACTCAGCTCCGTGACACCCGAACTTTCCTCCTTGCTAGCTGTGGCATCATCTGCTACTCCTCCCTCAGGAAGATGAGAATTCACTGTCTCACCGGGTAAACAACCCATCTCGAAGTCTGTCTTATTTACATCCTGCGAATAGAAACAGTCATTATATTTATAACAAAAACCTGACTCAAACAAACAGGGCTGGGATGTAGCTCAATGCCGCAGCACCTGCCTGGCAAGCTCCAGGTCCTGAGTTTGATTCCCGGTACAAAATAAAACCAAGCCAAAATAACCCTGACACATAAAAAGTCTCATTGCTATTAAATGTAAAAAATAAATAAAAAAATATGTATGTATGTATGTATGTATATATATGTATATGTGTGTGTGTGTATGTGTGTGTGTGTGTGTGTGTATATATATATATATATATATATTTTTTTTTTTTTTTTTTTTTTAACTTG